GCACAAAAGCCTGAGCAATCTTCATTTACCCTACTTTGTTTTTCATTTCATTTGCAAATAACTCTAAAAGTTATTTTAGAGTTATTTTATTTTAAAAGGTATATAATGATACTATTTTCACATCAAAAAATTAAGCAAATCCATAGTATTGTTAAGTATTTAATATTCAGTTTTCTCTGTCTCATAAGTGTTTGCTGCTTTTAGTAACATTCACTTCTGTTTGGTAATTAAATCTTGAGGTACATGCTTATTTAGTTCCCTAAGATGACAAAAGCTAACGGCCATTTTCGTGGTCCTAAATTTTCTTGATCTTTCTACAAATAATTTGGAACATGGGTCCCCCTCTAACTTCTCTGATGACTCCTCTTGCACTAAACTCTTCTTAGTGGGCCTTCCTCAGCGTCCCTTCCATGGCCCACCCACAGTTCTATATACCTTGCTCTGACTTCCCTTGTAAATGTCAGGCCTATGATACAAGTTCTATACCTGAGGTTCCAACAGCACCTCAAAGTCAGTATTGTTCCCTAGGTGTATCAATAGTATCACTACCCCCCAAACACTGCTTTAGAAAATGTAAAGTTGTTGGGGACCACCCCCGATTTCAGGCGAGCGGCTGACACAGGCAGGGTCTCAAGGTGGAAACGTCGGTGAGGCAATATTCTAAAATTGGGGAGAAACGGGGAGTAGGAGTGAGGAAGACCCAGGAGTCGGAGTTGAGTGCAAATCTTCCTGCTCTGCCTTCAGCAGAGGTTTATTTTATATATTTCAAGCAGGCAGGAGGATGACATTAGCATACAAAAGGGGCTGAGATCACAATCACCTTTTTTCTAAGAATAGTCTGGGGTTGTTTTGACCTTTACTTGAGATTATAACATTCTAAAATCAATCAAGGTTAAAAACAGGTACATAGGTGCACAAAGTTTAAGACTAATATTACTATAGTGAAGATTGATAAAAATAAAGTCCTTTAAACCTTATCTATTACTTGATGTTTTTTTCTACCTGAGACATCTTGGGAGGCAGGAAGAGGAAATTTCTTGCAAATCAAATTTCGGAAAAGTTCTTTGAAGAAACTTGCTAAAAGGTTTTAAGTGAGTTTCCTTGAGGTCTAGACAGTAGAAAGCATAATTTGCTCTGAATAGGAGACATAGGTGAATTTCCTTATCTAAAGACTAGATAGTAGAATCCTGAAAGACTAGTCAGAATACTTTTGTGGATTGCTTTAAGGTGTAGAAGGTAAAAGACCTGACTAGTTCTAAAACAGGCAACCAGGATGAATTTCCACATCTAAAGGCCAGACAGTAGGAAGTTTGAGTAATTCTTTAGAAGCTGAATAGAAGGCTAGGTGAGATAGTAGAATGATAAGATTTGGGTTTTCCTCCATCAGAAACAGCCCTTTTGCTTTTATTGATCAGTCAGTTGTCAAGTAACTTTTGACTTCAGAGGAATTTCTCACCCTGGTGCAGTGCTTGCTTGTCAGGGCAGGCAGGCCTTCTGCGGCTGAGGCAATCCAATTGTAAGCTGAAAGTTGGTCAGAATATTTTGATATTACGATTATACAGAAAAGGGAGGACATAACATAAGTTAGCAGTGGAAAGTCTGATTTTTCAGAGCTTTTCCCAATCTACCCGGAATTTATCGGATGATAGACGTTGCATAGCTTGTGTCAGTAAAGTGTTGTGTTGCTTTGTTTAAATTCTCCCTCTATGCTTCCTTCAACTTGATAATTTAGCAGCTCTACCTCACAAATAGCCCTTGATTCAGTGTATTCCTTTCCATTCCCACTGATATTTCTCCTATTTTGGTATTTCCCACTGTAATGAGGGCAGGTAGCAGGGCAAAGCAGGCAAATTGGTAGGGGAGGGGAGGGCAGGAGGTTGGCAAGCTTCCTAGACACCAGCAAATCTTTACTTTTAGGCTTTTTCTACAAGTGGTCTCTTCCTCTCATAGCCATTCTACCACTCTCCATTGCACTACGCCACAGAGACCTCTGCCATATGCCCTCCTCTGTGATGCTGCCATTATAGCCTCAGTCACAGCTCAGGTGTGCCCATTTATGGGTGTCTGCACCATACTCCAGGTGTGGCATCAAGTATGTGTACCCCAAGCCCAAGTTCCCAAGTGCAACTAGCATTCAAGGATACAGGTGTTAGCCAGAGGCCAATGGTGCAAGAACCTGAGCAGTCTCCATTTACCTACACTTGCCAATTACTTAGACTGCTCCAAAAGATTTTTGATGGAGTTGGTAGGGGGCTTGATAACCTCAGAGCTAAGTGTGACTTGCCCTATTAAAGACAGTCTGGATTCCCTTCCTATTCTTGTAGCTTTGTCACAGTTTAAAACCCACTATATAATCCCTAATTCCAGATTTACCTTCTTAAAAGTGATGTCTCACTTAATGAAACTATGGCTCAAGGAATTTTAGGGCTCCAAAATCAGGTCTTAGCTTTCTCGCAGCTCCCCACAAGACAAGCAACTGAAATCTTGCATGGTCTCTGAACATGATCATAATTTTATGAAGGTAATTCTGGAATTATTTTCTTCCTCCTTTGCTATGCAGTACTTCAGTAGTTTGTATTTTTTATTACATGTGAACAAAGGTTGTCTTTTTTTTATATATCTGTAGTAGACATTGTGGTTGACTCCTCAGATGCACTTCATTCCAGACAGAGGGAATCTGATGAGTGATCCCACTCAGATACCTGCAATTGAATTAGGAGAAGGCATGTGATACATTTTTGATCATTGACACAGAAGGGAAGTCTGTTGGGTAGTTCTTGAAAAGGACCCCATGTCTTTGAGAAACGGGGAACAGTCCTTTCTGGCTTTGTATATTATCAGGCCTGGGTGTGACTTCTGCCACCTTGCTGTCTGCCAGATTGAGATGAAAAGAACCTGAGCTCCTTATAGTTTGAGGCTCTAATCAACCAATCCTACAGCCATCCCTGACTTTACACTTCTAATGAGGTAAAGTAACAAATACCTTAATGGCCCAGCCACCTTAAGTCACAGTTTTCCATTATTTGTAGTCTAAAACACCACGTAGTGGTGTTTCCAACAATAACTTTAAAACCTCTTGACTTTAGGGGCTATATCTATTTATTTCTCCAGCCCTCTTAGAGTTTTGCTACAGCCAAATTAATCAAAAAATGATTAATATTTGCATATATGTGTATATTTCTGAACCATCACTAGTAAAAATACTTTCAGTTATGAAGTTCTTCATTTCTCATAGCCGTTAGAGATAACAAGATAAAGCTTGGTAGATTTGGATAACTTGTTCAGGGCATTTTATTTTTCAGTCATACCAACTTTTCAATAGTCCCCTTTGTCTCAAATCCTAGTCTGTACTTGCTGGATTACTGAGGACTGAAGAAAAAAGAAAGCAGCCAGTCACTCAGGTGCTGAACCCAGCAGGAATGCCAACATACTATTCTAGCTGTTTCTATCTCGGTGTTCTGGTTGGGAGCCCCTCTTCCAGTCCCAGTCCACACAGGTAAGTTGGTGGAAGCACCATGTACCCCATGAGCACAATTTACATGCAGAGATCTCTTTCTAGAAAATGGGATGATAGCTTTATTAGGACACTCTCAAAGGGATCTTGGTCACCATAAAGGCTAAGAAGTTGTATGATGCCATATAACATTTCAGAAGTAAAGAAAAGTAAAAATTGTTAAAATGTTCTGCATTTATCTCAGTGGTCAGATTTTTCTTGCTGATCTCTTATTGATAACGAAGGAGAAATTTAAGCACCAGGGAGGGCAAGGTACCTCTAGTTGTTACAGAGGGCGAGGGTGGAGCTCTCAAAACTGTTTGCTCTAAGTAGGTTCAGCTATCCATCACATGAAGACAAAAATACTCTAGTGCATAACATCTTTAATGAAAAGGAATTTTAATACAATTAGTGTTGAACAAAGAGAAGGGAAAGAATATAGTTTCCAAATCAAACACCCCAAATTACACATCCCCTCTTGGGTAAATGCCTGCCACGAGTCTAAGGCAGGGGATCCATAGTAAAGGGACACTAGGGGCCAGGCACATCTGGGACAAAAGGTGTCTCCCCACAGGTGTCTCCCCCACATCTGTTTCACCCAGTCCACGACAAAGAAGCAAGCACAGCTTCTTCACATCTCTCTGCTCCAAGTGCCTCCTCTAGGTCTCCTGGCTCCCTTCCTCTTTCTTCCTCCCCTTCTCCAGCTTCTCATTTTCTAGCCCGGTTGCAGACACAGAGGTTGCCCCTCACACACATTACCAAATACACTAGTCACAATGATTGCCTGACAGGGTGTGCTGTATCCCTTTGGACTGCCCAGAAACCCTTCACCGTGTTCTACTATACAAAAGACCTGCTGCCCAGTGCGTGGGGATGGGGGGAGGGTGGCAGAGCCGGAAGGGGGGTTAGGGGAGAAAGAGAGAGAGAGAGAAAGTGAGACTGACTTGTGCGCAGTTAGAGAAGAAAGAAACCATGCGAGGTAGGAGTGGGCAGCCAGTAGGGATCCAGTCATCACTGTGAGCAAAGGAGGGCGCAGAGCACGTTAAGGTACCGCCGGTAGCCAGGCTACACAGCAGAGGAGGCGCGGACTAGGTGCGAGGAGTTGAGATGAAGCTAGGCGCGCCACCCGGGTCTCCCAGGGTCTGGCTCAGGTGAAGGGGTGGTTGGGCGAGGTGGCCGAGGAGACGCCCAGTGCGCCCGCCGCCCTCCGCTGGCGTGGTGGGGTCCAGGCCCGAGGCCAGGGAAATGCAGGGGCCCCAGTCCCCGAGGGTGGGCCGGAGCCGGCACCCGCATGCTGAGCGGCTGGGGTCCGTGGGTACGAGGCGCGGAACCAAGGAGCCGCGCGGCCGGGGTCAGCTAGGAGGGCGCGCGCGGAGCCAGCGGGCACG